CTCGGGATTCGTCACGTCACTCCGTGTCTTGCGCTCGTTGTACACGTAGCATCCCTCACTCGCAGCGATCTTGGGGGCGATGTCGTGGTTCGTGTTGTGCATCCGCCGCCGTGCGTCGCTGAAAGTCTCGTGCCGAATGCCGAGACTGTTGGCTCGCTCGGCAAGGCTCACTCCGCCAGACTCAACGGGCTTGCACCGCTGGCCGGGGTGGCACACGTCCGTGCCAGCACACGTGTGCTCTCCCGCTCCGGCTGCTACAGCGAGCGCTGTCTGGTACGTGGTCCACCCTATCGAGCTGTTGCAGTGCTGCTTCAGCGCTTGCATCGACGCACGGAGTGCACGAGTGTTGGCCGCGTCGATCGCAGCCACGTTAGCTGCTGCCTGCTCTGCCGCGCCAGCATCCAGAATGGCCCGTACTCGCTCCATCAACACGGGGTCGTTCTGGATCAAATCCATCGCGCTAGAGCGATGCTCCTCCGCAACCTGCGTACAACGTATCAGTAGTTATTGGAGGAGTCGGGGGAACATANTAATGTGCTCTCTGTGCTTAAGATCGACGTGGTGGAATGGACCTCAATTCCTGGGGGCAAAGAGGACGGGCATCGTACAAAAAGAGCGGCACGAACTGGCGCGCAAAGTAAAGCAGTCAATCAAGCAGTTTAACACCTTTCAACAGCACCTCAGAAGCGACTCAAAACTCACCGCTTCCTCCCGCGAAGTCTCTGGGGTAGCACTGCTTCTAGTCCCGCCATCATGAGCCAATGCTAGAGGGTCGGAGAGAGCTGCGTCCGCCCCCTTGCGCTTCGCCTTCTCCGCCGCAGCAGATTAAGCAGCAGCAGCAGCAGCAGGCTGTCGTTTCCCACGTTTCGATGATCTCTCTCGGATGCCTTCAACATGCTCTCTACCGTTTTCGAGGAGCTCAACTTCATCAGCAACCACAGATTGCACGGGTTTTCCAGCTGCCTCGGTGGTACCCTTTCTCAACAGCTGGCTGATTAGCAGTATCCCGCGGCTGTGCTTTTTCCGCTGCTGTCTCACTACCCTCTCTTCCCCTCGGATTTCGATTGTGCGGTCTACCTGCAGCATGAGGCTGCCACGAGCCACGGCCAGGCCCAAGTCGGGACGGCCGTCCTAGAACGAGATTAGGTCTGATGACCTCGAAAGTGGTGTCCACTGCATGTAATTCGACCAAGCGGAGTCGATTGCCGTAGAGAACGAGGCTTGAGTCGGCGATGCTTGGGGTGAAACAGGATGCGCCGCATCGTTTATCTTGAAAAATGTGAGGATATATATTTTATTTTATTTTANTTGTGCGGTCTACCTGCAGCATGAGGCTGCCACGAGCCACGGCCAGGCCCAAGTCGGGACGGCCGTCCTAGAACGAGATTAGGTCTGATGACCTCGAAAGTGGTGTCCACTGCATGTAATTCGACCAAGCGGAGTCGATTGCCGTAGAGAACGAGGCTTGAGTCGGCGATGCTTGGGGTGAAACAGGATGCGCCGCATCGTTTATCTTGAAAAATGTGAGGATATATATTTTATTTTATTTTATTTTTCGTTCGGTTGGTCTCGCCGAAACGTTTCTAGAACCGGTCTCTGTTTTTCGTACCGACGAACACTCGTTCTAGGACGCCATTCTCCGGCATTTACCGGAAGGCGCCCTGGGCATACAGATCACAGAATGCCCAGACCCGAAGCGTTTGGATGATCAGCGCGTTGATGAACAGAATTAGTATTTGTAGGGCGGGTGGGATGGTGTCAAATATTTCCCCTCTTCGGCGTATGTCGGGAGCGAGAAGGGGACTGAACAAGGTGGAGTCATTTTCCAACATGCTTCATGGGATATTTGACTCTTGCCGTTTCCGTTCCGAATTGGATTCGTCTCAAATCCGAGATTGCTGTCATAGTCTGTCCCTCACCTACATCTACCTACATTGTAAGTGAGGCATCCTGCACCGGCCTGTGGTCCCGCCCGTTGCCTTCCTGTTGATTGCCTGATCTACCATATATTGCTTTGACCACGTAAGCCTCTTACGACAGGTCTCTCCCCACCCAAAGTTTCTTATTCCCGTGGCGCGCTTCCAATATGCTTCATGGGATATCTGACTCTTCCTGTGATCGTTCCGAAATCTGAATTCGTCTTATATCCGAGATTACTGCCTGCAGCCACATATTTACTACCTCGCACATACTTCACAATGCAGGCGGAAGTCTGCAAGAGAAGAGATACCCTGACCAAGAATAGAGACGAAACTCAGCCCGAAAACGGGGGCAGACACCATTGCATTATAGTTTCCCGTGCGTCGCGTTTGCGCGGTACGCACGCTACATAGCTACTATGGCCAGCACGGCCGACAAACCATTGCCCCCAGCTCGCCACGCTTCCCATCCTCGCCAAGATACTTCGTAGACCAAAAGAGGCGCACAACGGGGCTGCCTGCACCGATCACTTGGTGCGTTACGTGAAGTTATCATGCCATGCCATGCCATGCCATGCCAACCAGAGCTACTTCTTCGCTGCGAATTTCTTCGGAACGCGGGCCTCCGTGTGCGACATGGTGTCGCCCCCCTTGCAGATGTCCTCTCGAACGTGCATATTGTCTCCTTCATCGCACACGCGGAATTCGCGTTTCATCGAAATGCCCTGGGAATTCGTTGTATTAGTGGTTGAGCCCAAAAAGAAGGGGGGGCGGAGGAAACTTGGTGAAATATGCGCACAAGGCAACGCGAACAAGTCACGCACGTCAGCCACAGGATCCGGAGGTGGGATACGTACCACTCACGGCGATGGACGGAAAACGTGCTAGGTTCGGTGCATATATACGACCTGGTGGGCAGAGGCATCCGTAGCGGCCAATAGCAAGTGAACGAGATTCGAATTGAGAATCAACTCTTGCAAAATACTACCCCTGTGGTGGGTATCAAGTACCAAGGAGCTGAACCAGTGCTGGCAACGAAAGGGTCAACCTTTACCTAGGCGGGCTGCATGCTGGACCTCATCCGAGTCTACGCCGAGAAATCCAGCGCAAGGATCCATTCCGGTAGGAGATCGGGCGTGTCTAAACGCACCTTCGGCTATGATCAATGATCGGCATTGAGTTACCAGATCAGACTGAGTGCGTCAACCTTTGAGGAGAACTCACGCTTGGGTGGTCATCAGCAGAGCGAATGCCGGACAGCAAAAGCCCGACTTTCACGGGGGAAAACATTATGGTGGTCGGCAATCTGTCACCAACGTTGAGAAACAAGGGGCGCGCGTTTGCGAAACACGCGGAGCTCACAAAGGGACAACTACTTGTTCAATACGCACAACATCTGCTTCACAGAATTGCAAAGCGGGAGGGGGGGTGAATTCATCTGTGGCGTAGAGTTTCAAACCAACAGACGGTCTCTTCAATGTCAACAGGATACAACGCACCGCATCTTGGAAGGAAGAACCGCATCTAGCAAAAAAAAAAATGGCCAACGTCGCTCTATTCCTATCCCTATATCCTTCGTGTGCCGATGTGGCCAACGCTCACTTCGAAGGAAAACCATCCTATCTAATCACATCTCTCGTACAATGTCACCCTCCACATTATCGCGCCAACAGCGAACGGGAGAAGGTACAGGGGGCATGGGTCGAGAAATGTGCGTGAGATACTCACCAGCTCGCAGGTCCTCTCGGAGATCGTCTTCATGAGGATGTGCCCGTGAGAGTCTCCCTTCTCTGGAGCGGGGGGACAGTTCAGCATCACTCTGCTCGGCAGCAAAGGCGTGGACGGGGGTCGACAGAGGGCCGACGGATCAGGGCCTCTGCTGAAGTTGAGTTTGCAAACCCTTCGCATGAGTGCAACCCTCGCCCCCCCCCCCCCGGAGCCAGTAATGCTTGAGTTGCACAACGACACCTGCACCATACATCTTCTCCGCCTGATCTACAGCTCGGTAGGTACTCCGGGAGGGCGAATATTGAGCAGTATTCGAGTTTCGTTTGTCTTGTGGGTACCTGTGGTTGTCGATAGTTAGACGCCCCTGGTGCCTAGGCTGCCCTTCTCCGTGCACTTCCCGCACCACCTGTAATATCACCCGAACCCGGGACAACCGCCGTGCTCGGTCATAGGGTTCGAAACAACAAACACGCCTCGCCAGATGCGTTAATCTCTACACTCTGTACCGACACTACTAAGCACGTTGTTGATGAGGAGGTTGGCATTCACCAAATTTAGTTGGGGGGCTGCACCAGTTCCATCTGTGAGGAGGGTGGTCAAGGAACCTCACTTTTCTTCTTGCTGGGTGTGAACGAGAGAAAGAGGAGAGAGAGGACACCAGCAGAAACAAACGAGAGTACGCACGCCCCGTCATAGTGGTCGCTGATCACAGACGGTATGTATGACGATAGGCGCGCTGTGTGTCCATTCGTGTCCAGACAGGACTGACCTCCCTCTTTTTCCGCCCAGAACCCCAGCAGCAACAGACAGATACGAAGAGTCAGACACGCTTGCTTGGGATGCAGAGACAGCTCTACACCTCAATTCTGACAGGCAGAGCAACTCCCCCCAGATGTAGGTCTGGCCTTCGTTGGCCGGCTTTGGAGTCCCCATGGCAGCACCTTCCGTGGTGCCCGGCGTTTGATTACGTCAGGCTATTCTATTGCTGCTGTTGTGGTAGGTCTTTGCGCTCCTCCTAAAATCAATAAGAGATTCAGGGATAGCGTCGTCTAAATTTGATAGCTGCTTTCCATTAATTTTCGATTTGTTCCCTCTCCGAGGAATGTTCCCAGAGCTCGATTCCTTGACCCAGTAGTATTATCTAGAAGTTCTTCGAAAAATGTTTGGTTTCCAAGCCAAGATTTGCTCGCAACATGTGTCCGCGAAAAATATTGTGTTTCGCAGATAATGACAAATGTTTTGAATGTTGACAGGGCGGCTTGATGTTCGTCTCGTCTTCTTGAAGTTGATATAAAGGCGCAACGGCCACCTGGTCCACTGACAATACCACGGTGCGATCAAAACTGAGCTTGTCGCAGCCGTACAAGTTATCGTCCCTCCCACTGCAGTATAGTACAACCCGTTGATACTAACGGTGGGCGCCCGCCTGGGGTGCGAAATAAAAGACGCTACCCACGACCTCATGCAGGCGGAGAAACAAAATGGTTCCAATGCTGTCCATCGATAAAAAAAGAACATCAAACGCAGAGCCGTTGGCAACCGTCCACGTATCTCACAAAGTAGCCGTGCCGAGGTCAAACCTTTGGCGCTGTCCTCTGCACTCACGGATCTGCTACAGGTGCAACCGGAGTAGCTGTGGGGTGATTCGGTCGAGAGATAAAAGCGTCGGACACCACTGAGCTGTGTTGGAAAAACGTTCCTCCGGCTCTCAACAGTTAAGCAACAGTGAGTGTCGCCAGCGATTCCCTCCTGGATATAAGCATCCCACGACTGTCTCACTTGCATCCGACGAGAAAAGTAGGAGGTGGTGGCATCAGAATCAGAGATTTGGCTTCGGTGCAACTACGGAGCGAGAAACGTGAACGGGGGTTATCCGCCCCCAAAGTTGGAGATGTGTTCTCTGTTGATGACGCACGTGGAACACGCCAGGGCCAACATGTATTTTTCGCGCGCCATGGCCGGTTTTCGCCGCTGTCGGCGCCCGTGGCGTCGATCCAGCAGTGCAGGCACGATGCGTTGGAGGCCCTTGAGAATGTGCCACCGGAAAATTTCACAGCATTATGGGCGATGCGGTTGACTGGCCTATGGTATCTCGCCGCACCGGACCCGTTGCCCGCCTCGGTGGTGTAGTGGTAACCTCGAAACCGCTGGTCACAAAATTTATGAGTTAAAATCCCCACGGTGAGAAAGAAGTACAGTGTGCGGTGAAAGCGGAAGATAGCTGAAAAAAACGCTCTCGTAAGTACCAAACTTCGAAGTTAGCAGCGTGGACGAGGGAAAGGGACGTGTGGACCCTTTTCCCGAGAAAAACAAAATTCAGCATGCACCGCAGGCAGATAGTGGGGCACGAAAATGAAAAAAAAAAAAATGGTGTTCACCCCCTCTCCTGTGTGACTGTGAATGGTTTTATTATTACGAAGAAATGACAAAAAGTGTAGTACTCCATATACGATGAGGAGTGTAGTAAGACCACGAACAAGGGGGACTGTCGCCACGAAACTAGGACGAAAACAAGAACACATGCACCCACGAAGATTTGTCAAACCGCTCCATGATCTGCCAAAAACCTTGAACTTAGGGCCGTTTTATACATTCCAAATTTTTGTTCCAAAATTTCCAAATTTTTGGCGCCAAATATTTGGAACCGAGCAGCTCATTTT